CTTTTTTTTTTTTTTTAGATAAATAAGCTGAAAAACACTAAATAAATAGATAAATACATACATAAAAACAACATAAGTGGTAAGTAGTTATTGACTATTTCACAAATGCTATTTTTCAAACTATTATAATAATAATAATAATACATAAATAATATATTAAATGCTATTATTTCAAAATAAATTAATAATAATAATACATAAATAAATGAATAATATATTAAAAATATATAATTATATATAATCTAAAAGAACTTGGGATAATTGACTTTATGCCACAAATGCTGTTTTTCTTTTTTGAAAAAAATGACCTGAAAAATTAAATAATAATCATGTTTAGTAATCCTCTGTCTCTCTCTAGTGTTTTCTAATGTTTGGACTCACTGTCCCCTTTGGTCAGCTCAGCATCTCTCTGAAGCTGACTTCCTGAAGTGTGTTTTTGGCTCATGAATGCTGCACTCATAACCTCATGGCTCTGTGACTGGTTTTGTTTTGTTTATTTTAATTAGTCTTTTTCCCCATGAGCCCAAGTGTCAGTCAAGGTCAGGCAGCCAATCAGATTGTGTCTAACCCTTCCCTCCTCGCCCACTTTTGTCCTTTTCCAGTGGAGTCGGCTGCGGCATGGGACGACACGTCCGCAATAGACTCCTCCAGTCAAGGTTTGAGCTCCTCCTGTCCCGTCCTACGTTTCTCTCATGTTTCCAGCCGCATGTGACTGACAGTTCAACTGCATGTTAATGTGCTGATGCGGCGCTGCATGCTGTTACCGTGGAGATCTGCATCAAACGACTCTGATCTAACCACTAATGATCTTTCAGTCGCTCATTTGACAGTTGTGCTCATGTCTTCTGTGCATCATGCTTGATTTGCTTCACTTTGCATGTGATTTCTGTCATGTACTTTAAGTGTTTCTCTTGAAGAGTGTCATTAAGTCTGTTCAGTCTGTTTATGCAGTAGGTTTACCAGAAGTTTTAACACAAATGCAGAATGAGTTGTACATAATTTGCATGTTCTCTTGATAGAGGTAGACTGGGAAAGACAGAGTTTCTTTCATATGTCTGTCACTGAAGTAGATTATTCAGGTAGCTGCTACTCTACACGTCAACCATTTAATTAATCGTTTAATTAACTTGCTCCGCTAGATTGCTTTCAAACTATTCCTCTGACCTGAAACTGATGATGACTGATAGGTTTCGCTACAGCTAGTTGTGTTCTGCTATGAATTGTGGTCTAACATTATACATTAATGCATGAAATCAAACTTACATAAAGCTAGACGTTTAGTGCTCATCTCCTCGCATAGCGTATGTATCAGACTTACAGTAAAACAGTAATATTATGAAATATTATTATAAGTTAAAATAAGAGTTTTCGGTTTGAATATATATGAAAATATAATTAATTGCTGTGATGCAAAGCTGAATTTTCATTAGAATCTAGAATTAGAATCTTGTGACACTGAAGACTGGAGTAATGATGCTGAAAATCACAGCAATAAATTACATTTTAAAATACATTTCAAATAGAAAACAGTTATTTTAAATTGTAATAATATTTCACAATATTACATTATTTTTTACACAGTAATTATTCCAAACTTTTGAATGGTGTGTTTATGTATATATTCTATATTTTATAAAGTTTATGACATTAACTTTTTTTAATAATGGGCATTTTATGCAGTTTTTTTTCTAACCACGTAATTTCACAGCAAATAAATATTTCAATAAAATTAATTAATTGAAATTCTCAATCTGGACAATAATGGCTATTAATCATTAAATCAAATAAACAGCAAATATTAACATAGTTGTAAATAATGCACAAAATTCTAGAATAAATTTGAAGTAGTTGTCGGTTCACAATGTCAGATTATTCAGTTTTTACTGTCAGACATCACAGCAATTAATTATATATTAAAAATTATTTTTTTTAAATTAGATTTTTTTCCTTAGTCTTATTTAAATGTTCTTTCTGTTCTCAATGTCGTATAGGTATGTATGTTTGTACCAAGAGCTCCTAAAAAAACACAACAAATTCCAAATTGGCGAATAAAGCTCATTCTGAATCTGATAGATTTAGATATAATTGTCATTTCATGTTTTGAGGTCGTTGAGAGCCATTCCTTCACATTCAAGCACTGCAGTGTCTTCAGAGACAGAGAATACTAACCTAGAATACTGATGTGTCAAATGTTTGATATCAGATAAATATGTATTTTCTGCCATTTCTGTCACTTTCTGTGTCATTTTCACCCTGAGCGCTGCTTTATTTCCAAATTTGCTCCACTGCATCTTTAAAGTCGCTCATTAAGATGTTGCATTTGACTTGCAGACCTCAGTCGCTCCGCCGGCTCGATGGGAAGCTCAAGACCTCGCAGGATGGTGGCCATCTTTGATTACGACCCGAGAGAGAGCTCTCCTAATGCAGACATAGAGGTGACATTATCACTATGACAAAACAGTTCCTTATACTAGTGAATAATCTAAAGCATGTGAGTCTAATGTACCGTTTCTCCAGGCTGAACTGACCTTCAGCGCGGGCGACATCATCTATGTGCTCGGTGACATGGACGATGACGGCTTCTACTATGTGAGTTTCTTTCATACCTGTTTCTCTGTCTGTCTGTCTTTTAAAAAAAGTCATAATAAATAGGGTGAAAGTTTTGTGCGATGACACGTTCATGGCCGTACAACCATTGAGTTTTTTTCCGTGGTGTGTAATAAAAGTTGTGAAGTAATTACTAATAATAACTGTACTTCGGTGCTGCAAAGATATTGTACAGTGCCAAGATCCCCGACTTTTTTATCTGAGCTGATCTGTCAGAGCCAGTGTTGGGGGTCACGCATTACAAGGAACGTAATCAGATTACATTTTCAGAAGTAACTAAAAAAGTAACCCATTCCTTTTAAATTACAACAAAATATCCGAGTTACTTTTTCAAATAAGTAATGCAAGTTACTTTGTTTTCCCATTTCACTGAGAAATTGGGAGTGAGGTGCATTCCTTCAGCCTGAGGCTGATTAATTTCACTTTTGGTTTGAAAGGGCCTTTAAAGGGTCATGAAACCCACTGTTTCCGCACCGGTTAGTTCTCACCACAATTTTGAAAAATGCTAAAAAAGTAGGCGTGGTAAGAGGGGAGACGGGCAACACACAGCTTCGGTTTGTTTCAGGCGGTTTCATTTCGCCCCCATTCAGTTAAAAACACGAATAAATGCATAGCCATTTGCATTTGCACTCTGCATCGAAATCATATATGAACGCGCTGTTGCACCAACTTTTAAGGCTTAAACTTTTGCCTTTTGATTGGTTGCATCAAGTTACACTCACTAAGTGAATGAATCGCGTTTGTGCTGAACTCTTACAAAGCAAAAACAAACGCTCACCTTCAGTCCATGAACGTTTCTCTCAGTTAATGTACGCAAGCTCACAGTCTGAAGTGTCAGTCACACATGCTGTTGTGAATAATTAAGCGAAGTGTCTTCTTATAGGATAAGAACACACAGTCTCATGAATAATTATGAGACACCGAAGTACTGTAGTCCTTTGCCACGTCACAAAATGTGACGTCAACATGATATAGATTTTAAACCCGGAAGACGAAAATAGCACAAAAAGCTCAAAATTAACCAGTTTTCTCCAACAATTAAAATGTAACGGATGCTAACATTGTCTTCTATGATGTGCAACACAAACACCTCTGCTAAAATCTCAGAAAAAGTAGTTTGGCGTTTCATGACCCTTTAAAGTTGCCAAAAATATTGGCAAACTTTTTTTGTTTGTTTGTTATTAAAAAACAAATAAGCACGTGCCGACCAGGTGACAAAAAGTAACGCAAAAGTAATTTAATGCATTACTTTTCATTAAAAGTAACTAAGTAACCCACCTAGTTACTTTTTTTTATGGAGTAACACAATATTGTAATGCATTACTTTTAAAGTAGCCGAGCATTAATTTCAGCACAGCGATTCAGTTTTAACACTCAAACCGTGAGATGTAAGAGTAAGTATGTAGCTAAACATTTAATGTTTGACTGTGTTATGATAGAAATATCCAGGGATGCATGCAACTCAACCAGAGCTGTTTTCAGCACATTAGGCATAAGGTTAAGAATGAATGTGTGCATATTGTGAATTCATTTAATGAACTTTAATTAAATTCAAAATACACTTTCCTGATAACCTTTCAGTAAATACACTCATCATTCTTAGACCTACTATAACACGGTAAAACGTGTGGCTTTGACACGTGTGTTTATAGGTTAGGACAGTAATTTAACCTATTAAAATAAATTATTTGCAAATAGATCAAATGCATTACTTTACAATATTTTTTGTTTCTTTAACAATTTCTCTTTATTCGTCTCCTTCTTTATTCCTTTAATTTTACAAGAAACCCCCAAGTTAAAGATCTGAGACCTTTGTATATTGATGTTAGTGGCTGGTCTGTGCTCAAAATTTAAAGTGATAGTTCACCTAAAAATGAAAATCCTGTTGCATTCTATTATTATTTAGTATTATTATGTACAATTATAGTTTTGATAACTCTTTAGAATAACCTTCTTTAGTTTAACATTAGTTAATGCATTAACTAACAGTGAGCCATTCGTTTGTTACAGTGTTTCTGTATCTTTGTTAATGTTAGTTAATAATAATACACCTGATCATTGTTAGTTCATGTTAGCTCAGATTCATTCAATAATAATTACAGATACAAGTTTTGATTTTAAAAATGCATTAGTACATGTTGAAATTAACATTAACTATGATTAATTAATGCTTTAGTAGACTTTTTCATTGTTAATTCAAGTAAACTAATGTAGTTAACTAAGGAGGTTTATTGTAAAGTATTACCATAGCTTATTATATTTTGAATTACCTTTTTTTTATATAAATTTATAAATAACCTTTTAATTTTTGCTTTAATCATTTTATGTGCTTTTGTTATTTTTTATTAATTTTTTTGTTATTATTAATACTATTTTTTTTCTATTCCGGTTTCATTTATTATTTAAGCTGTAGATTTCATTTTAGCTTTAGTTTTATTATTCCCAATTTTAGTGCTTCATATTAAAATTATTTCAGTTAGTTAACAAGGCAACGCTTCTAGTTTTAATTTTAAGGTTTTCATCTAATATTTATATTTTGTTTTATTTCAGCTTCATTTCAATTAACAATTTTTCAATAGTTTTTGATTTAGATTATAATTTTTTTATTTATTTTACGCTCTCATGTAAATGGTAGTTAACTCCCTCTCAGCACAAGTTGCTTTAGTTTACAATAAATTCTAGTTCTTTATTTGTCTCCTCCTTTATTCCTTTAATTTGGCAAGAAACCTCCGAGTGTCTGCATCCTGTGTATAGTGATATGAATGGCTGATCTGTTTTAAAAAAAAATTATTTTATTTACCTGTTCAAATATTGTCATTCCAAAACCAAATGTTATTTTTCATTACATTTTTCTTGTTCTGAAAAAGTCTATTGTTATCTAAAATTAAGATTATTATCTCAGCTATTGTTATCCAGATTAAATGGAGGACAAATGCACATATGTAGTGCAAATATATCCCAGAATCGCTCAGTTTTTGGACCTCGGTATTTCTGGCCATGAACACGTATGACTGAATGACTGAGCAAAGCAGCAGTGCATGATGGGTTTGTGTTGTTTTCAGGGGGATCTCAATGGACACAAAGGCCTCGTGCCGTCCAACTTCCTGCAAGCTTTTCCAGAGACAGAAGAAGACGCGGCGCGGACGGAGCACACGGTGACAGAGAGCCGCAGAGATTCACAGGTATGTGTGTGTGTGTGTGTGTGTTTGTGTGTGTGTGTGAGTGTGTGTGTGTGTGAGTG